ATCATTACTTGGTCTTATGTCGAATTAATGGCCTTTTCAAGCGTTGGCGGCATCGGACATCTGTGTCTACCACTGCGCTACAGCGTATAAGAATAGAGAAGTAACAAGATGAAGATGTGAAAGAGAAGTATAAATGTAGAATGAGAGGAAATATTAGATGTTTGAATGAGTTGTGTATGAATGATTTGGACTTGAATACTGTGTGGGATAATATTAAGAAAGGTTTGGTGAATGCCGCCACCTAAGTATGTGGTGTAAGTAAGAGAACAAATGTAAGGAAAAGTAATACGTTGTAGTGGGAAAAAAGAAGGAAAGAACGGATAAGAATGATAGAAGAATATCTGATAATTTCCAGGCTAACATAAAAATGTTCTGGAAATTCGTAAGAACTGCCAGGGGAAATACAAAACAGCCTATTATTAAAGCTATAAGAGACGAGAATGGATGTATTCTGAATGATGAAGTTTAGAATTTAAACAGACGGAAGGAATACTTTGAAAGCGTGTTTATGAGTGAAGAGTCGTCTGAATTAAATGAACTAGAAATTCCGAAAGAAGTGGAAAGGGGTATGGAGATAAGTGTAGATGAAATAATGAAAGCAATGAAAAGCATGAAAGTGGGTAAGGCAGCTGGATATGATAGAGTATCACTCGAGATGCTAAGGGCTGGAGAGGGAGTGGTGGCAGGCCCGCTGTACACCTTGTTTAATTTATGTTGGGAATTAAAACGGGTACCAGATGATTGGTGTAAAGCAGTTATAGTACCAAAATATAACGGAAAAGGGTCGAAGCAGGACTGCAAAAACTACCGTGGTATCAGCTTGCTTAGTAATGTGGGTAAACTGTATGCTAAGGTGTTATTTGAAAGAGTTATGAAAGAAACTGATGGAAAAATTTGGGATGTGCAAGCGGGTTTTAGAAAGGGAATGGGGTGTACAGATCGAGTCTTTTCCATGCCCATGATTGCGTACAAGTTTTTGGCCAAAAACCAGAAAGTTTTTAGTACGTTCGTGGACTTGGAAAAGGCTTATGACAGAGTGGACAGGAATGTGTTATGGTAAAGGGGAATGAAAGTGAACGCAAGTAATACGAAAGTGATGGTTTTTGAAAGGGAAGAAAACCAAACGGTATGTGAAATAAGAATAGAAGGAGAGTTAATTGAGCAAGTAGATGTGTTTGTGTATTTGGGATGTATATTTAGCAGGGATGGTGGATATGATAGGGATATAGAACGACGAGTAAATGCAGGGAATAGAGTGAATGGGGCATTACACTCTATTATGAAGAACCAGAATGTGTCAAAAAAGGCACGTATGGTAATTCATAATGCTGTGTTAGTCCCTACTTTCACGTATGGTAGTGAAAGCTGGGTGTGGCAGAAGAAGCACGAAAGTAGAATAAATGCTGTAGAAATGCGGTCTTTATGGAATATGCTAGGGTTGAATCTGAATGACAGGGTGAGAAATTGCGTGATAAGAGATAAATGTGGTTTGCAAGATGATGTTGTGACCAGGATTAAGAAAGGAATGCTTCGGTGGTTTGGTCATGTAGTAAGAATGAATGAGGAAAGATGACTAAGCAAATTTATATGGCAGATATGAACGGCCGAATCGGGAAGAGACGCCCTAGAAAAAAGTTTATCGACCAAATTGGAGATATTTTGAAAATGGGCCACGTTAGAAGTACCCTTAACTGACGAGCATGTATGCGTAGTTATATGGATGTAAAGGAGGCGAAAGAGGTATGTCAGGATCATGCCAAATGGAAGTCCGTAGTCTCTGCCTACCCCTCTGCGTGACAGGCGTGAGTGTTTATGTATGTAAGTTTTTATAAAACTGAATTAAGTACGAAATTAACGACCACTAGATGGGAGCCCATTGCAAACCACGAACTTCTGCAGCCCACTTCAAACAAAGAAGGTTTCAAATGCATTGTCACTTTTGAGGACTAAATTGGAATGCCTCACAGTCTGTTATATGGTACTGGTTCTCTATACTGCCGTCCGTAAGAAATAATGCCTTTATCTCGCATCTGGTCGATTTTCGTTTTTTGATGTCACCATAACCATAAAAAAATCTCTATCTTTTCTAAGGAGTATTTTTCTACTATTTATGGATCTAGAGATAGAAAATAGAAAAACACCGTTAAGTTGCCTTGTTTGATATGTTTCTTACGCTAAAACGCAGGTAAGCAACATTACTAAACTAAAAAGTGACTAAGGGCTGATAATTTATCTTTTTCCCAGAGTGTTTCCCATCAGGTGCATAACTAAATTGCCGTTAATAGAATTTCCTACTATATTATGAGGTTAAAATGCTTTAACGGTTTTATAGTTCTACTTTTTTTCAAATTACAGTGTACTAAATCAAACGTTAAAAAGCCGTTAAATGAAAATACTAGACAAAAATGTCGCTAATGTCACTTAACGGCATTTATGCGTAGTACTTAGATGTGTTTTTGTTAAGAGATTTTGTAGTAAATACGCCAATAACGGCATTATCAATATGAAATATAAATATTTTGCTTATCAAGTCAATCACACGCGGTTATGTACAGTGAATCCTTTGCTCTCGATCCGCGGCCTCCCGAGACTCTCTCTCGATTGATGAAGCAGTTCCTTAGAGAGTGTAAGCAGTTCACCACTAAAGTTTAATGGGAAGGACGTGTCACGCACCACGGATTCCCGCCGAATGTTACGATGGCTGACAACTACTCAAGGATCCAGCGGTATCCAATGCGCTCAACCTGGATAGATAACCGAATATTGTGTAGAAGCGACACTGTAATAGCATTAAGACTCTGATCTGGGCACATTCCATGCAATAAATTTTCATACTTGATGCGAAAAACTACCTCACCAAACTGTTCAACTTGCAACATTATCGATGATGTGTACCACATATTGATAGAATGTGTCCAGAACTCCAGAGAAAGAAAAAATGTAATATACATTTGTCATTGATTGGCAGTATTAAAAGTATTTTCTCAGACCCGTTATCAGTAGGTGCCAAAAAGCTTTATGTGTTAGTAAATAAGAGATTAAATAATAAATAAGTTTATATAGTTGTTAGTATTTATCCTACTTAAAAATTTTGTTATTACAGGGCGTCATAATCGCTTTAGCAAATAGCCCTTTTTTAAGAATAAAAAAACTACTTAAGGTAAAACATTATTTAACCGCTCAAGCGTCCAGCCCTCGCGACTGATTTACCCTTGTACGTCCGGATACGCGCGGCCTTAATTCGGCTGCTACCGCGCTTGCATGTTGTATAATAAAACCCACATAGCTACTTAACTATAATGGATATAGACAAAAACTACTAAAAATTGACAGAAAATGCTAATTAAACCTATGTATGTTTTTAAACCTAAAAATGTTATGTAAGTTATTAAAAATAGTTGTGAACATTTAACTTGGAGAACAATAAACGTATAAGTTTTATTAATTTACACCTCGACGAAGAAATATTTTATTTTTACCCATAAAATAAAGTCACAACAAACTAGACGTATTTTCCTTTTTTATGATGCATATATATTAATGTTTAATTAGCTTTATGTAATTAAATAAATCGAAAAAAAAAACCTACTCCTGGTAATTTTACCGCGATGCCTCGAGCGCTTTGGACTTGCTCGCGAAGCCAACATATAAGCAACATGGCCGCCTATTTAAGGTCTCACACACGCTTTGTAATTTACGCAACTTAAAAAAAGGTAGTTATGAGATTTTTTTTAAGTTGGGGTTTTAAATTAAATATCCATACTTCCATAATTTATATTATAAATGCGAAAGTGTGTTTGTTTGTTTGTCCTTCTTTCACGTCGCAACAGAGCGTCGGCATGGCATGATTTTTTGTATGAGGATAGTTCGGTGGCTGTAGAGTGATATAGGCTACTTTTTTCAGCGGAAAAACGTTACATTCCCGTGGGAAAATCGAATATGTTGCAAAATTAAATTCATCTAGGTGGCGCCACTGTGATTCTACAAGACGGACGACGGTACGATGAACGAACACAGAAGGTCAGAATATCTGGATTATTATGTCTTTTTACCAAAATTAAGATAAAAAATGTATGGATCTGTAGTTTTCCACACAGGACCAGGAAGAGAGCGATAAAAACATAAAATTCACCAGCTGATTTTCTTCAAACGTTTTGGTGCATTGTAATTCACAGAATAGGCGATAACCTCGCAGACGATATTAAGTAATCCGTTGATGCTCTGCCTACCCCGCAAGGCGTGATTATAAGTATGGATCAGAAATAAGATCACCACCAGGTCATAATATCAGGTCCGGAACCAGGTCAGGAAATAAGGTCACGCTTTCACCCTTAACTATTACTTAACTGTTGTAGAAACAGTTCTTAGTAAGCCTTAATAATAAGCCTTAGTAATATTTATTGAACGAAAATGAATACAGTTATTATATGTGGTTATGAATGAATCGGTATTACAATAAGAAAAATTGTGCAAAATTATAAGGAAAATATATTTTGAGAGTTCTTATTAACTAACGAATACATAGTTTAAATTGATTCCGCTAGATGTCGTTACTAGGGTTTTAAAACGCGATAACGAAATGTTTCCTGACATGTACTTAACTCCCGCCGTTGAGCCGCGCGTCAACTTATAGCGCATACGGTACCTACACGCTTAAATTGTTTCTATTTCGTAGCTTATTCGACTACCTGCTTTCGATATCGGTTGTTTGTTATTTGCTTTGTGATTTGGTTAAGGTTAAACAATAATAATAATAATAATAATAATAATAATAATAATAATAATATGCGGCGTAGGGAAGTGACGACCCCATCGCCCGCTGACGTAACAGTTATGTGACAAAACTGCTACGTCGGCGCAGTCAGTCAGCATCCTGCCAAGAGGTGTGAGCGCCGTGCCTAGGCAAAATTGTAGGTGCAAAGGTCCGTTTGTGCATATGACCCAACCACGAAACGGTGCCGGGTTTGGGCGTCTCCCGTTATTTGGCGCCCATAAAATGGATGATGGCACAAAGAGGAACGCGCATTGGGCCGCTGCCTGGGGGGCGCCGGGGCGCGTCTGGAGCTGGCGCTGGACGCGGCAGCATGCGGGCCGCCAGCCGAGCGCGAGGAGCTGCACGATCACCTAGCAGCCCCTCGCATCCATCATCCCCACCAGAAGGCTTGGTGTCGGCTGGGTCTTCTCGGACTCAGCAAGCGGCACCCGCCGCTGGTGGAGCACGTCGCATGCGTTGGACAAAACCTATGAATGAAAACGCATTGCGGGCGTACTATAGGGCGAAAGGGGAAGAAACTGTGGGAATAGCGTATAGGTCTCGGATGCATTGCTTTTTTGCTGAGCTGGAGCCTTCTACCCCCGTCACGGAACAAAACCTGGCAGACCGAGTTCGGTACATCATGCGCTCGAAAATATTTGATGATGCCGAACTCGGACGACTACGACGTGAGGCTATTCCGTCGTCGAATGAATCGGCTATGGCTGGAGATGCAGCTCCACATTCGACAGACCAGCATCCACACGTGGAAGCCGCCCTGGATCTTCCCGTTGTGGTTGATTCGAACGACGATGGAATAGTCTCCCATGAACTAGAGAAAATGAGGAGTATACTGGAAGAGGCGATTTTGGAAACGCGCAGCACCCCTATCGAAAATCGACCGCGACTTCCCCGCATACCCCTAAGCAAGCGAAATCGGGCTGTCGTGAGGGCTCTTAACCCAATGCTGGTGACCTATTTGGAAGCCAGCCGGGACCTTTGCGAGACGGACTCAATTCTCTTTGGCGCCGCAGTGGCAGTTTGCCGTATTATTGGCGCCAAACTTCCCATGGCTGGACGCGCTACTACACAAAGTAGCGCCATCCCAGCCTGGAGAAAAAGAATCGAGGACCGTATCGCAAAGGCAAGGGCCCTTATCGGCAGACTGACAAGCTTCAGGTCGGGTAATAATAGACCGAGGATTATGCGCACCGTTAGGATGGCGTTTGCTGGGACAAATATCAGTTTGTCCCAGCCGGATATCACGCAGAAACTAACGGAGCGCATAGACGACCTGAAGCAAAAGATCGCTGCTTGGGGGAAGCGGATTCGACGATTTACCGACAGGTCAAGGCGGTTCAACCAGAATCGTCTCTTCCAGAGTGATCAGAAGAGGCTCTATAAATCATTGGAGCGGCCAAAGGTATGTGGAGCGGGCCAAGGACCGGATCAGGCAGACATTATCGCATTCTGGCGTGGCCTGTGGTCAGAGCCCGTAAACCACAGCGAGGGCCCTTGGATGGAAGTTGTGGCGAGCCAGGGTGCGAGTGTTACGCCTATGGACCCCATCACCGTAACGCCGGAAGATGTGGCTGAGGCGGTCCGTAGGGCCCCGAACTGGAAAAGTCTACCCACCATATATAAGACACTGACATCCATTTTGAGCGCGAGAATCACTCGGCACCTGGAGCTAAACCAGTTGATGTCACGCGCTCAAAATGGATGTCGGGGCGGTGGTCGTGGAACCAAGGAACCACTCCTCATTGACGCGGTCATAGGCAAAGTGGTGAAACGCAACCGTCGGAACTTCTCTGCCGCCTGGATAGACTATAGAAAGGCATTCGACTCGGTGCCCCATACATGGCTAAAGAGGGTTCTCGAGCTGTACAAGATTGACTGTACAGTTAGAGACTTCCTCGAGCAGTGTATGGGGCAGTGGAGTACGATCCTTTGTCATCTGGGCGAGCGGATGATGGCTGCGGAGAACCACATAAGGATAAGAAGGGGTATCTTCCAGGGCGATTGTCTGAGTCCAATCTGGTTCTGCCTCTCTCTAAACCCTCTCAGTACCTTACTGGAGGGCTCCGGGAGGGGATTTCAGCTACGGAGAGGAGGGACAAAAGTGACCCACCTTTTCTATATGGATGACCTCAAGTTATTCGCCTCCAGTCGCTCCCATCTTATGGAACTGCTAAACATCACTTGTGAATTTAGCAGTTCCATTGGAATGGAGCTGGGGACGGATAAGTGTGCGGTCCTCCATGTTGAGAGGGGAAGGGTTGCTAACTCTGAGCGCATAGACTTGTCTATGCCCGTCAACTTAAGGACCCTTTCCGAGGCTGAAACATACCGATACCTGGGTATGTCACAGAACATCGGTATCGATGAGGCTGGTATGAAACAGTCAGTTTGCGACGTGTTTTATGCACGCTTGACCAAAGTGCTTAACAGCCTTTTGTCCGGTGTGAATAAGTCACACGCATATAATTGCTGGGTCATGCCTGTCCTCATGTATACCTTTGGCATACTCAGGTGGACTCAGACTGAGCTTAACGCCCTGGATAGAAAAGTCCGCACTACCATGACGTCCCATAGGATGCATCATCCGAGATCGTCGGTAATGAGGCTGTACTTGCCGCGAAAGCATGGTGGGCGTGGCTTTCTGAGCGCGCTCACCATGCATAATCGCGAAGTGTGCAGTCTCCGTCAATACTTCTTGACGAGATCGGATGATCCATTCTATAATGACGTCATTTCTAGTGATAAAGGGCTTACCCCTCTATCCTTAGCCAACGAGCAATGGCAGGACCCGGCAGTGCTTAGCATTCCCGACCGGGAGACCGTATGGAAGGAGAAGGAGCTCCACGGGAGGTACTACAAGGCTCTACATGAGCCCTTCGTAGATACAGTCGCCTCCCTCAACTGGCTACGTTTCGGTGACCTTTTCGGGGAAACCGAGGGTTTTGTCTGTGCAATACAAGATCAGGTTATTAAGACCAACAACTATCGGAGATACATCCTAAAGGATGGCACCGTCGACGTCTGTCGAGCTTGTCGCCATCCCGGTGAGTCGCTTAGGCATGTCATCTCCGGTTGTTCGGCGCTTTCTAACTCTGAGTACTTGCACAGGCACAACCTAGTAGCCAGAATTCTACACCAGGAGCTCGCTCTGAAATACGGTCTCGTGGACCGGAAAGTGCCGTATTACAAGTACTTGCCGGAAGCCGTGCTCGAAAATGACCGCGCCAGGCTCTACTGGGACCGGGCCATCATCACAGACAGGACTATTCTTGCGAATAAACCTGATATTGTGCTGATGGACCGGGCACAGTCAAGAATATTTTTGGTCGATATTACCATCCCGTATGACGAGAACCTCGTGAAAGCCGAAACAGATAAGCAATCAAAGTATCTGGACCTGGCTCACGAGGTGACCGACATGTGGGGTGGTATGCCGACCGAAATTATTCCTGTAGTCGTCTCTGCGAATGGGCTAATCCCAGTTAGCCTCTCTGGTCATCTGAGGCGACTGGGACTCCGTGACGGACCGCTCCGGGCTCAAATGCAGAAGGCGGTGCTCCTTGATACTGCCCGCATCGTCCGCCGGTTTCTTTCCCTTTCCCCCTAACCCTCGGCCGTTTGGTCTCCCCTGCCGAGGGCTTCCATCTGGTTGGGCTTTTATTTATTTATGTATTTTTGTATTTATTTTATTTTATTAATATTTATGTATATTTATCTTTTCATTTTCATTTATAATTATATATTTATACATCCCAACCAGATGAGAAAACTATATAGATACCCCACATAATAATAATAAGATAATAAGAAGAGGCTCTATAAATCATTGGAGCGACCAATGGTAAGTGGACGGGCCCAGTACCGAATCAGGCCGACACGGTCGCATTCTGGCGCAGCCTGTGGTCAGAGCCCGTAAACCACAACGTAGGCCCTGGGACGGAAGTAGTGGCGAGTCAGTGTGCGTGTATTACGCCCATGGACCCCGTCACCATAACGCCGGATGACGTAGCTGAGGCGGTCCGTAGGGCCCCGAACTGGAAAAGTCCGGGGCTTGACGGGCTGCATCACTACTGGCTGAAGGGGTTCGTGGTGTGTCACACTGTGCTCGCCCGACAGTTTCAAGAGGTTCTCAAGCAGAAGTCGCTCCCGAGCCTCTTCACTACTGGGATCACCCATTTGGTTCCTAAAGGCCAGGGTACCACAGACCCGAGCAAATACCGCCCCATCACATGTCTACCGACCATATACAAGACACTAACATCCATTTTGAGCGCGAGAATCACTCGTCACCTGGACTCAAATCAGGTGATGTCGCGCGCTCAAAATGGATGTCGGGGCGGCGGTCGTGGAACCAAGGAACCACTCCTCATTGACGCGGTCATTGGCAAAGTGGTGAAACGCAACCGTCGGAACTTCTCCGCCGCCTGGATAGACTACAGAAAGGCATTCGACTCGGTGCCCCATACATGGCTAAAGAGAGTCCTCGAACTGTACAAGATAGACTGTACAGTTAGAGACTTCCTCGAGCAGTGTATGGGGCAGTGGAGTACGATCCTTTGTCATCTGGGCGAGCGGATGATGGCTGCGGAGAACCACATAAGGATAAGAAGGGGTATCTTCCAGGGCGATTGTCTGAGTCCAATATGGTTCTGCCTCTCTCTGAACCCTCTCAGTACCTTACTGGAGGGCTCCGGGAGGGGATTTCAGCTACGGAAAGGAGGGACAAAAGTGACCCACCTTTTCTATATGGATGACCTCAAGTTATTCGCCTCCAGTCGCTCCCATCTTATGGAATTGCTAAACATCACTTGTGAATTTAGCAATTCCATTGGAATGGAGCTGGGGACGGATAAGTGTGCGGTACTCCATGTTGAGAGGGGTAGGGTTGCTAACTCTGAGGGCATAGACTTATCTATGCCCGTCAACTTAAGGACCCTTTCCGAGGCTGAAACATACCGATACCTGGGTACGTCACAGAACATCGGTATCGATGAGGCTGGTATGAAACAGTCAGTTTGCGACGTGTTTTATGCACGCTTGACCAAAGTGCTTAACTGCCTTTTGTTCGGTGTGAATAAGACACAAGCATATAACGGCTGGGTCATGCCTGTCCTCATGTATACCTTTGGCATACTCAGGTGGCTTCAGACTGAATTAACGCCCTGGATAGAAAAGTCCGCACTACCATGACATCCCACAGGATGCATCATCCGCGTTCGTCGGTAATGAGGCTGTACTAGCCGCGAAAGCATGGTGGGCGTGGCTTCTTGAGCGCGCTCACCGTGCATAATCGCGAAGTGTGCAGCCTCCGTAATTACTTCCTGGCGAGATCGGATGATCCATTCTATAAGGACGTCATTTCTTGTGATAAAGGACTTACCCCTCTATCCTTAGCCAACGAGCAATGGCAAGACCCGGCAGTGCAGACAATTTCCGACCGGGAGACCGTATGGAAGGATAAGGAGCTCCACGGGAGGTTCTACAAGTCTCTACATGGGCATTTCGTAGACACAGTAACCTCCCTCCACTGGCTACGCTTTGGTGACCTCTTCGGGGAAACCGAGGGTTTCGTCTGTGCAATACAGGATCAGGTTATTAAGACCAACAACTATCGGAGATACATCCTAAAGGATGGCACCATCGACATCTGTCGAGCTTGTCGCCATCCCGGTGAGTCACTTAGGAATGTCATCTCCGGTTGTTCGTCGCTTTCTAACTATGAGTACTTGCACAGGCACAACCTATTAGCCAGAATTCTACACCAGAAGCTCGCTCTCAAATACGGTTTCGTGGATCGGAAGTTGCCGTATTACAAGTACTTGCCGGAAGCCGTGCTCTAAAATGACCGCGCCAGGCTCTACTGGGACAGGGCCATCATCACAGACAGGACTATTCTTGCGAATAGGCCTCATATTGTGCTGATGGACCGGGCACAGTCAAGGATATTTTGGTCGACATTACCATTCCGTGTGACGAGAACCTCGTGAAAGCCGAAACAGATAAGCAAACAAAATATCTGGACTTGGCTCACGAGGTGACCGACATGTGGGGTGGTCTGCCGACCGAAATTATTCCTGCAGTCGTCTCTGCAAACGGGATAATCCCAGTCAGCCTCTCGGGTCATCAGAGGCGGCTGGGACTACGTGGCGGACCGCTCCAGGCTCAAATGCAGAAGGCGGTGCTCCTCGATACCGCCCGCATCGTCCGCCGGTTTCTTTCCCTTTCCCCCTAACCCTCGGCCGTTTGGTCTCCCCTGTCGAGGGCTTCCATCTGGTTGGGCTTTTATTTATTTATGTATTTTTTTTATTTTTTTTATTTTATTGATATTTATGTATACTTATCTTTTCATTTTCGTTTATAATTTTTATTTATACATCCCAACCAGATGAGAAAACTATATAGATACCCCACATAATGAGATAATAATAATAAGCCTGTGGTCAGAGCCCGTAAACCACAACGAGGGCCCTTGGACGGAAGTTGTGGCGAGTCAGTGTATTACGCCCATGGATCCCGTCATCATTACGCCGGAGGACGTAGCTGAGGCGGTCCGTAGGGCCCCGAACTGGAAAAGTCCGG